CACAGAACCGTTACTTAGGGGCCACAGAAAACGTTAATCAGGGACACAGAATTGTTACTGAGGGCCACAGAACCGTTACTTAGGGCCACAGAAACGTTAATCAGGGACAGACACAGAATTGTTACTGAGGGACACAGAATTGTTACTGAGGGCCACAGAACCGTTACTTAGGGCCACATAAACGTTATCAGGGACACAGAATTGTTACTGAGGGCCACAGAAACGTTACTTAGGGCCACAGAATTGTTACTCAGGGACAGACACAGAATTGTTACTGAGGGACACAGAATTGTTACTGAGGGACACAGAACCGTTACTTAGGGCCACAGAATTGTTACTCAGGGACAGACACAGAATTGTTACTACTCAGGTTACAGACACAGAATTGTTACTCAGGGACACAGAATCGTTGAATTAAAGAGTATGTCAGACAACATGCAGAGGAGTGGCAGAGGAGGCAATGTTTTAGGAGCGAGCAGACGTGGCAGCAGAGGAAGGGGTCGAGGCAGCACTATTCGCAGCCAGAGGCCAGTGCTCCCGGTGTCATCCAGCGGTCGTGTCTCCACCGACAACCCTGCCGTCATCGATTGGTTGGCTGGCTCGGTCGTCTTCCTCTTCCCAGGTCACCTCTGACACCTACAGCCAACGGTCGGTGGGTACGTCAGACACAACCGTTAGTTGGCATGGCCCGGGACCAAGCCCACTGAAATCACGTGTCCTCTACCTGCCCCTGTCCTTTGGTGTTCCCTCACCAAGCGAAAGTATCGCATGCTGTGGGCTCAGCCCCACTGTACAGTGAGGAAGAGCTAACAGAGGGCGGTCAGGAACGGGGGGAGACATCGCCTTTTCAGCAGCCAGGCGAAGAAGTAGTGGCGAGGAGAGTGGCTCGGTAGCCGGTCTAGAGACAGGTCTGTCTCCTGACCCAGACGCAGCCGAGGGGGCTAGTAGTGAGGCGGAGACCCTACTTGATGATGAGGAGGTTGATCGCACTTGGCAGCCTCGTCGTCATCAGGCAATTTCTTCCGCATCATCAGGAGAAGAGGGTGGCAGCTTGGCAGCGAGCGAAACAGTCGGTGGGTTGCCCAGGAGACAGCAGCAGGGGTCGCAGCAGCAGTGTCAGTGGAGCCAAACGGCCACGGAGTAGAGCACCAGCTCCACTGCAGCCTACCACCACGGCCAGTAGTGGTGCCGGTGTGCACGGAGGAAGCAGCAGTCAGCCAGTGAGGAGTATCGGGGGCAAAGTTTCCTACTCGGCGGTGTGGCAATTTTTCGTCAAGCCGCCCGAGGAAGTAAACGTAGCCGTATGTCGACTATGTGGCCAGAAAGTCAAGCGTGGCCAGGGGGCCCATGTTGGGACTACAGCGTTGCGGCAGCATATGCAGCGTCGCCATTTGGTGGCCTGGGAAAACCGTGATAAAGATACGGCGGTTCTGCCCGCCCCAGCCCCCGCTCCATCACCCGCTCCGTTACTTGCTCCGTCACCCGACGTCAATCGCCCTCCATCAGCCAGTCAAGGCTCCAACACCTCTGCTGAGGGGAGTTGTCGCTCGTTGGCATCTTCCGCTCGTTCAGATGCTCCTTCTCCTGCTACTCCTCTTCACGGATTCCGTCAGCAGTCTTTCTTGGAATCCGTTTCCAAGAGACAACAGTTTGCGAGCACGCACCCGACGGTGCAAAAGCTGAACGTCCTCCTGTCCAAGTTGCTGTGCTGCAGTCCCTCCCTTTCCAAGTGGTGGACTCAGCACCTTTCCGAGAAATGATGGCTTGTGCCGCGCCGCGGTGGAGAGTGCCAAGCCGTCATTTCTTCGCCAAAAAGGCAGTGCCAGCCCTGCATTCACATGTAGAAGACATGGTGGGCCAGTCTTTGAGCATGTCGGTCTCTGCCAAAGTGCACGGCAGCGCCGACGTGTGGAGCTGTAACTACGGTCAGGGACAGTACATGTCATTTACGGCCCACTGGGTGAACGTGGTGCCGGCACAGCCGCACCAGCAACTTGGACAGGTCACGCCGCTTTTGCCTCCACGTTTGCACGTCCTTGGTCCACAAAAAGATGTCCGCCTCTACCACCTCTTCTTCCGCCGTGTCCTCCGCCAGCCGCCACCCCCGTGCCAAGTCCCATTACCCGACCGGCATATCACATGTGCAGGGCGCAACGGTGTCACGCTGTTCTGCACCTGGTATGCCTTGGCGAACGTAGTCACACAGGGGAGGAACTTCTCAGTGTAATGAACAGAGAAATCGACAGATGGCTGTCTCCGCGCAAACTGAAAATCGGAACCATGTTGACCGACAACGGAAAGAACATGGTGTCTGCTCTGCGTCAAGGAAGGTTGTGCCATGCGCCATGCATGGCTCTCACGTGTTCAATCTGGTTGTCAAGCGGTTCCTAAAATCCACCATCCCACTGCAAGACATCCTTAAAATGTCACGTAAACTTTGCATGCATTTCAGCCATTCCTACACCGCAAAGCACACCCTCCTTGAGCTGCAGCGGCAGAACGGAATTCCACATCATCGCCTGATCTGCGACGTTGCAACAAGGTGGAATTCAACCCTACACATGTTAGACCGCCTTTACAAGCAGCGAAAGGCCATCACCGATTTCCTGATGTTACAAGCGGATAAAGGTACTCCCCTGTGTAACTTCGATGTCAGCCATTGGCAGCTCATGCGTGACACCTGCCGCTTGCTCAGGCCCTTTGAGGAGGCCACGCTATTCGTGAGTCGGCAGGACTATGGGATGAACGACGTCATTCCTCTGTTGCACGTCCTGGAACAAATGCTGTTAACAATGGCTGGTCAGGGTGCGGTAGACGTGGCGCACAGATCTCAACGCCACATGACCCCTGTGGGGGCAGGACAGGAAGAAGAGGAGGAGGTAGAGGAGGACATTTGTGCTCAGGAATTATTGAGTGAAATGGGTGGTTTTTCCACTCAGCGGACAGGAGTGGAGGAGCAGGAGCATCTGGTAGAGGAGGAGGAGGAGGAGACAGAGGACCCAGACGCACCGTGGCAGTATGCTGTGGAGATGGAGGCAGGGAGTCCCTCGCATTCCTTGGCACAAATGGCCCATAGCATGCTCGGTTGCTTGCGTAGCGACAGCCGAATAATAACCATCAGACAGAGGGATGACTTTTGGCTGTCCACCTTGTTGGACCCTCGCTACCGTTCAAAAATGGTGGCCTTTTTCACACCTGCTGAGAGGGAGGCCAAAATAACGTACTATAAAAACCACCTATGTAGTCAGTTGGTCTCTGCCTTTGTGCGCCAACGTCCATCCTCAGACACTGTGGGCCCTGTGCGCTCGCGTTCCGCTGCCATGGCAGCAGGGGAGGGGTGGGGTGGTAGGAGCAGTGGCAGCTCCACCAGCAGCGGCTGCCTCAGTCTGCAGTCGATGATGAGTAGCTTTCTTCACCAGCGCAGTGAGGAAACTACTAACCAGCCCGCAGCAGCAGCAGCAGCAGCATCAGGTGGACCTGGAGCAGGACCTCAAACAACAGGCTTGGGCCTACTTGGACAGCACCCTGCCAACCGAGGTAGACAATCCCCTTGACTACTGGGCAACGAAACTTGACCTTTGGCCCCAACTAGCTGAATTTGCCCTTGAAAGGCTGTCATGCCCGGCCAGTAGCGTAGCGTGGCATCGGAGCGCGTTTTTAGTGCGGCAGGAGGTATTGTAACTCCGCGGAGGACACGACTGTCCACCCACCCAAAGTGTGGAGAGACTCACGTTTGTGAAAATGAATCAGGCGTGGATTAGTCTGGATTTCAAACCACCAGTTCCTGACACAACTGACTAAAATCCGCCATGAATCATGCCCCAAACATGTGCCACTTTCAGGTCCTCCTCACACTGCTGGTGTGTTCCATTTTTTTGTCATAGGGTGCTGGCAGATTACGGGCCTCCCATAGCTGCTGCCAGGCCCCTAATCTGCCATGGGCCCCTGTACCGCCTCCTCATGCTGCTGCCAGTCCAGAGTCGTCTCTCATGGGTCCCTACGGCCTCCCATTGCTGCTGTCAGTGTCGCCACACTCTGCCATGTGCCACTTTCAGGTCTCCTCACACTGCTGGTGTGTTCAATTTTTTGTCATAGGGTGCTGGCAGATTACCCCTCCCATAGCTGCTGCCAGGCCCCTAATCTGCCATGGGCCCCTGTACCGCCTCCTCATGCTGCTGCCAGGTCCACATGGGTCCCTGTACGGCCTCCATTGTGCTGCCATGTGCCACTTTCAGGTCTCCTCACACTGCTGGTGTGTTCCATTTTTTGTCATAGGGTGCTGGCAGATTACGGGCCTCCCATAGCTGCTGCCAGGCCCCTAATCTGCCATGGGCCCCTGTAACCGCCTCCTCATGCTGCTGCCAGGTCCAGAGTCTCTCATGGGTCCCTGTACGGCCTCCCATTGCTGCTGTCTCCATCGCCACACTCTGCCATGTGCCACTTTCAGGTCTCCTCACACACTGCTGGTGTGTTCCATTTTTTGACATAGGGTGCTGGCAGATTACGGGCCTCCCATAGCTGCTGCCAGGCCCCTAATCTGCCATGGGCCCCAGTACCGCCTCCTCATGCTGCTGCCAAGTCCAGAGTCTCTCATGGGTCCCCTGTACGGCCCTCCCATTGCTGCTGTCTCCATCGCCACACTCTGCCATGTGCCACTTTCAGGTCTCCTCACACACTGCTGGTGTGTTTCCATTTTTTGTCATAGGGTGCTGGCAGATTACGGGCCTCCCATAGCTGCTGCCAGGCCCCTAATCTGCCATGGGCCCCTATATACCGCCTCCTCATGCTGCTGCCAGGTCCAAGCCCCAGAGTCTCTCATGGGTCCCTGTACGGCCTCCCATTGCTGCTGTCTCCATCGCCACACTCTGCCATGTGCCACTTTCAGGTCTCCTCACACTGCTGGTGTGTTGAATTTTTTTGTCATAGGGTGCTGGCAGATTACGGGCCTCCCATAGCTGCTGCCAGGCCCCTAATCTGCCATGGGCCCCTATACCGCCTCCTCATGCTGCTGCCAGGTCCAGAGTCTCTCATGGGTCCCTGTACGGCCTCCCATTGCTGCTGTCTCCATCGCCACACTCTGCCATGTGCCACTTTCAGGTCTCCTCACACTGCTGGTGTGTTCCATTTTTTGTCATAGGGTGCTGGCAGATTACGGGCCTCCCATTAGCTGCTGCCAGGCCCCTAATCTGCCATGGGCCCCTGTACCGCCTCCTCATGCTGCTGCCAGGTCCACAGTGTCTCTCATGGGTCCCTGTACGGCCTCCCTGCTTGCTCAGGTCTCCTCACACTGCTCAGGTGTGTTCAATTTTTTGACATAGGGTGCTGGCAGATTACGGGCCTCCCATAGCTGCTGCCAGGCCCCTAATCTGCCATGGGCCCCTATACCGCCTCCTCATGCTGCTGCCAGGTCCAGAGTCTCTCATGGGTCCCTGTACGGCCTCCCATTGCTGCTGTCTCCATCGCCACACTCTGCCATGTGCCACTTTCAGGTCTCCTCACACTGCTGGTGTGTTCCATTTTTTGTCATAGGGTGCTGGCAGATTACGGGCCTCCCATAGCTGCTGCCAGGCCCCTAATCTGCCATGGGCCCCTGTACCGCCTCCTCATGCTGCTGCCAGTCCAGAGTCTCTCATGGGTCCCTGTACGGCCTCCCATTGCTGCTGTCTCCATCGCCACACTCTGCCATGTGCCACTTTCAGGTCTCCTCACACTGCTGGTGTGTTCCATTTTTTGTCATAGGGTGCTGGCAGATTACGGGCCTCCCATAGCTGCTGCCAGGCCCCTAATCTGCCATGGGCCCCTATACCGCCTCCTCATGCTGCTGCCAGGTCCAGAGTCTGTCTCATGGGTCCCTGTACGGCCTCCCATTGCTGCTGTCTCCATCGCCCACACTCTGCCATGTGCACTTTCAGGTCTCCTCACACTGCTGGTGTGTTCCATTTTTTGTCATAGGGTGCTGGCAGATTAGGGCCTCCCATAGCTGCTGCCAGGCCCCTAATCTGCCATGGGCCCCCTGTACCGCCTCCTCATGCTGCTGCCAGGTCCAGAGTCTCTCATGGGTCCCTGTACGGCCTCCCATTGCTGCTGTCTCCATCGCCACACTCTGCCATGTGCCACTTTCAGGTCTCCTCACACACTGCTGGTGTGTTCCATTTTTTGTCATAGGGTGCTGGCAGATTACGGGCCTCCCATAGCTGCTGCCAGGCCCCTAATCTGCCATGGGCCCCTGTATACCGCCTCCTCATGCTGCTGCCAGAGTCTCTCATGGGTCCACAGTGCTGTCGCCACATGCCATGTGCCACTTCAGGTCTCCTCACACTGCTGGTGTGTTTCCATTTTTTGTCATAGGGTGCTGGCAGATTACGGGCCTCCCATAGCTGCTGCCAGGCCCCTAATCTGCCATGGGCCCCTGTATACGCCTCCTCATGCTGCTGCCAGGTCCCAGAGTCTCTCATGGGTCCCTGTACGGCCTCCCATTGCTGCTGTCTCCATCGCACACACTCTGCCATGTGCCACTTTCAGGTCTCCTCACACACTGCTGGTGTGTTCCATTTTTTTGTCATAGGGTGCTGGCAGATTACGGGCCTCCCATTGCTGCTAGCCAGGCCCCTAATCTGCCATGGGCCCCTGTACCGCCTCCTCATGCTGCTGCCAAAGGTCCAGAGTCTCTCATGGGTCCCTGTACGGCCTCCCATTGCTGCTGTCTCCATCGCCACACTCTGCCATGTGCCACTTTCAGGTCTCCTCACACTGCTGGTGTGTTCAATTTTTTGTCATAGGGTGCTGGCAGATTACGGGCCTCCCATAGCTGCTGGCCCCTAATCTGCCATGGGTTCTGCCTCCTCATGAGGCTGCATGCCAGGTCCCAAACAGGGGTCTCATGCCATGGGCCACTTTCAGGTCTCCTCACACTGCTGGTGTGTTCCATTTTTTGTCATAGGGTGCTGGCAGATTACGGGCCTCCCATTGCTGCTGCCAGGCCCCTAATCTGCCATGGGCCCCTATAATACCGCCTCCTCATGCTGCTGCCAGGTCCAGAGTCTGGTCATGGGTCCCTGTACGGCCTCCCATTGCTGTCTCCATCGCCACACTCTGCCATGTGCCACTTCAGGTCTCCTCACACTGCTGTGTGTGTTCAAGTTTTGTCATAGGGTGCTGGCAGATTACGGGGCCTCCCATTATAATAGCTGCTGCCAGGCCCCCTAATTTGCCATGGGCCCCTATAATACGCCTCTCATGCTGCTGCCAAGGTCACAGTCTCTCATAGGTCCCTGTACGGCCTCCCATTGCTGTGCTGTCTCCATCGCCACACTCTGCCAATGTGCCACTTTCAGGTCTCCTCACACTCTGCTGGTGTGTTCCATTTTTTTGTCATAGGGTGCTGGCAGATTACGGGGCCTCCATAGCTGCTGCCAGGCCCCCTAATCTGCCATGGGCCCCTGTACCGCCTCCTCATGCTGCTGCAAAAGGTCCACAGTCTGTCATGGGTCCCCCCTGTACGGCCTCCCATTGCTGCTGTCTCCATCGCCACAACTCTGCCATGTGCCACTTTCAGGTCTCCTCACACACTGCTGGTGTGTCAGAGGTGAAATTTTTGACATAGGGTGCTGGCAGATTACGGGCCTCCATTGCTGCTGCCAGGCCACGCCTCCTAATCTGCCATGCTGCAGGGCCCCCACTGTCCTGGGTCACCAACGGCCTCCTCATGCTGCTGCCAGGTCCATCAGTGCCTCATGCCATGTGCCACTATTCAGGTCTCCTCACACACTGCTGGTGTGTTCCATTTTTTGTCATAGGGTGCTGGCAGATTACGGGCCTCCATAGCTGCTGCCAGGGCCCCTAATCTGCCATGGGCCCCTATATGCCTCTCCTCATGCTGCTGCCAGGTCCAGAGTCTCTCATGGGTCCCTGTACGGCCTCCCATTGCTGCTGCCAGGAGGCAGCAGGCACGCAGCAGTGTCAGTGGAGGCAAAACGGCCACGGAGTTTGTAGAGCACCAGCTCCACTGCAGCCTAACACCACGGCCAGTAGTGGTGCTGGTGTGCACGGAGGAAGTAGCAGTCAGCCAGTGAGGAGTAGCGGGGGCAAAGTTTCTACTCGGCAGTGTGGCAATTTTTCGTCAAGCCACCCGAGGAAGTAAACGTAGCCGTATGTCGACTATGTGGCAAGAAAGTCAAGCGTGGCCAGGGGGCCCATGTTGGGACTACAGCTTTGCGTCAGCATATGCAGCGTCGCCATTCGGTGGCCTGGGAAAACCGTGATAAAGATACGGCGGTTCTGCCTGCCCCAGCCCAGGGTTCCATTTTGTCATAGGGTGCTGGCAGATTACGGGCCTCCCATTGCTGCTGCCAGGCCTTAATCTGCCATGGGCCCCTGTACCGCCTCCTCATGCTGCTGCCAGGTCCACAGTGTCTCATGGGTCCCTGTACCGCCTCCCATTGCTGCTGTCTCCATCGCCACACTCTGCCATGTGCCACTTTCAGGTCTCCTCACACTGCTGGTGTGTTCCATTTTTTGTCATAGGGTGCTGGCAGATTACGGGCCTCCCATTGCTGCTGCCAGGCCCGTAATCTGCCATGGGCCCCAGTACCCCGCCTCCTCATGCTGCTGCCAGGTCCACAGTCTCTCATGGGTCCCTGAACGGCCTCCCATTGCTGCTGTCTCCATCGCCACACTCTGCCATGTGCCACTTTCAGGTCTCCTCACACTGCTGGTGGGTTCCATTTTTTGTCATAGGGTGCTGGCAGATTACGGGCCTCCCATTGCTGCTGCCTGCGCAGGCCCGTAATCTGCCATGGGCCCCCGTACCGACTCCTCCTGCTGCTGCCAGGCCCGTAATCTGTCATGGGCCCCCGTACCGACTCCTCCTGCTGCTGCCAGGCCCGTAATCTGTCATGGGCCCCTGTTGTCGCTTGTTGGCATATTCCGCTCGTTCAGATGCTCCTTCTCTGCTACTCCTCTTCACGGATTCCGTCAGCAGTCTTTCTTGGAATCCGTTTCCAAGAGACAACAGTTTGCGAGCACGCACCCCGACGGTGCAGAAGCTGAACGTCCTCCTGTCCAAGTTGCTGCTGCCAGGCTCGTAATCTGTCATGCCCCTGTACCGCCTCCTCATGCTGCTGCCAGGTCCAGAGTGTGTCATGGGCCCCCGTACCGACTCCTCATGCTGCTGCCAGGCCCGTAATCTGTCATGGGGCCCCTGTACCGCCTCCTCATGCTGCTGCCAGGTCCAGAGTGTGTCATGGGTCCCTGTACGGCCTCCCATTGCTGCTGCCAGGCCCGTAATCTGCCATGGGCCCCCGTACCAACTCCTCATGCTGCTGCCAGGCCCGTAATCTGTCATGGGCCCCTGTACCGCCTCCTCATGCTGCTGCTGCCAGGTCCAGAGTGTGTCATGGGTCCCTGTACGGCCTCCCATTGCTGCTGTCTCCATCGCCACACTCTGCCATGTGCCACTTTCAGGTCTCCTCACACTGCTGGTGGGTTCCATTTTGTCATAGGGTGCTGTATGGCCTCCCATTGCTGCTGCCTCCACCGCCATACTGTGGCTCCACACTCTGGTTTTGGCCCCGTGACTGCCCAAATGAGTGAAGTGTGCGGTGATTCTAAGATCGACGGCACTCATCTGCATGTCATACTGACTGACAGTATTATTTCTCTTCCCCAGCAGACTCCAAGGGCATTTAAATTAAAGGTACAGTGTTCTGCACTAATATAAAGGCTCTCTGAAGCCTAGAACCACCCTTTTATAAGTTAAATTCGCAGCGAATATATTCGACTCGAATCTAAATTTTTTCACGAATTCGCCGAATCAGTCGAATCGATTTTTTGAATAATTCGCTCATCTCTACTTTCCACCCATTCTCTTCCCTTCCTTCCTTCTTTTCTTCACTCCAAATTCCTCCCCTTCCTTCATTTCACCCTCCTACCTTCCTTCTTTCCTTTCCTCACCCTAATTCCATTCCTTCCTTTTTTTTTCTTTATTCCTTCCATATTTCCTTCCTTCCTTTTCTTATTTCCCTACCCTTTCTTGCCACCTTTCATATACTTATTTCTTTAGTTTCTTCCCTTCCTTCCTTCTTATCCTTCCCTCCCTTTCCACTTTTTCTTTATTTCTTTCCTTCCCTCCCTCCCCTTCTTTCCTTCCTTAAGGAATGCAGTTTCCCTTCTTGAATTTTTCCATCCCCTTCCTTTCAGTCCTTCCTTCATATTTTCCCTTACTGTAAGTTCCTTCCTTCCCTCCCGCCCCTTCCCTCCTTAAATCCTTTCCTATCTTTCCTTTTTTGCTTTCCTTTCCTTCCTTCATTCTTTCCCTCCCTCCCCTTCCTCACCTTTTCCCTCCTACTTTCCTCCCTGCCTTTTCCCTTCCTTTAATTCATTCCTCCTTCCATCCTTTTCTATTCTCCATTCCTTCCTCTTTCCTTATGGTCTTAAACCCCTTCCTTTTTTCCTATGCTTCCTTCCTTTTCTTCTAACCCTTTCCCTATCCTTTTTCCTTCCATCCTTCTTTCATATCTTTTCTTCTTTCCTAACTTTCTTCACTTTCTACTACTCCTTCCCTCTTTTCACTTTACTTTCCTTTTTTTCCTGCATTCATTTCTTCCTTCCCTCCCCTTCCTTCCATTCCTACCCATCTTCCTTCTTTACCTTTCCTACTTTCTTCCTTCCCTTCCTCCCCTCTCTGTCCTTCCTTTATTTCTTTCTTGCTCTTCCTTTCCTCACTCCTTCATTACTTCCTGCCCTTTTTTTTTTTACTTTCTTCTTTCCCTCTCCTTCCTTTCTTACTTTTCCTTCTCTTCCATCCTTTTTGGGGATGGGAAGGAAAGGAAAAAGGAAGAAAGGATGGAAGAAAGGAAAGAAATTAAGAAAAGCAAGGGGAGGAAAGGAAGGATGGAAGGAAGGCAGTGATGGAAAAAAATATAAAATAAAAAAAAGAAAGCAAAGCCATGAAGGGATGGAACGAAGGAAGGCAAGGAAAGAAGTACGGAAGGAGGTAGAGGGAAGGAAGGAATTAAAAAAGAAAGGAAGGGGAAGGAGGAAGTAAAGATCGAATAATGGAAATAAAGAAGAAAAGCAAGGAAGGAGAAAAGGAAGGGCGGAGAGGAAGGAAGAAAAGGGAAAGAAAAAAGAAAGCAAAGGAAAGAGGGGAGGAAGGGAAGCATGCAAGGAAGGGGAAAGGAATGTGGGAAGAAAACGAAAGGAAAAGAGGGAAGAAGGGAGGAAGAGAGAAGGAGAGGGAGAAAATGAATGGAATGAAGGAAGAAAAGATGGGAAAGGAAGGATGGGAGGAAGGAAAGGAAGGATGGGAGGAAGGAAAGGAAGGGAGGAAAAAAAAAATAGAGGGAAGGTAGGAGGAAGCAAGAAAGAAAGAAGGCAAGAAAATAAGAAAAGAATGGGAGTAGAAAAAGGAAGGAACGTTTGTTCCCCTTTTGTTGAAGAGATGGGAAGGGCAGGAAAGGAAGGAAAGGATGAAAGGAAAAACTAGGGTAAAGAAGGAAGAAGTATGGAAATTAGATAAGGATCACAAGCTGCTGAGCTCATTGCTCGCACGCATGCTTGCCAATTGTTTGAGAAAAAAGATTTACAAGCATTTACCAAATTCCAAATATGCTTTTGGTGCAGTGAATTATTTTAACAAAGGGGAGCAGCCTAAGCATAGTTAGTGAATGATCTTTTGGAAGCTATTCACAAACCCTGTGTTGCTTTTATAAAATGTAAAGCCCACACATCTATACCTCTGGCCGTACGGCCTTCAGCTTACTTTAGCTTTACTTAATTTTAGGTTTAATCTTGCTTTAGCTTTTAGGATTAGTTAACCCATGCTCCTGGGAGGGAGTGAATTACACAGCCACTACGGAAAATGGAAAGACAAAGTTTGACATGGGACCAGAACGTTAGAACGTCTAAAGAAGGGATCCAAAATAAGTTTGTAGGGTATGACAGATAAAAGTTTGCAAAATTCTTTTTGTATACAAAATTTACCACAAAACTTTCCACAGCGGGAGAAAAGGCCTTGTTTTAGAAATATTTGTTAATATCCTCAACATGTTTCTTTTGAGGAATTATAGAGTGTCACACATGCCTGAATTATTTCTCTACAATTATGACAGACTTCATAAAATTAAGATAGATAAGCTGGTTATTGTGGTGTTTGGTGCAAAGGCAATTACCTCCATCCTCATACACGCTGGTTTTAACATCCAAAGTGACCCTACAGGTAACAAAATTAATTGACCCAAAAAACCCCCAGCAGTTTTGAAAGTGGAAACCTATTTTGCGATGTCATTCTCATTTGACAACGTACCAGCAACACAGGAATGAAGAACTTAATTTAAGGCTATCATAGCATTCCCTGACCAAGTGGACCTGTCCTGGGAAAGTAAGACTTTCCTTACTTCCTTCTTTGCCTCCTTCCTTCTTTTCATTTTTCCTTCCTTTTCTTTCCTTCATTCCTTATTTCATTTTTTCCTATCTGCTTTCTTTTCTTCATTCCATCCTTCTCTTTCTTTCCTTACTTCCTTCCTTCCTTATTTCTTTTTTTCCTACCTTATTTCTTTTTCTTTCTTTCCTTCCTTTTTCTTTCTTTCTTCTTTGCCTTCTTTCCTTTCCTTCTCTCTCTCTTTCCTTCCTTTCCTTCATCCTTCTGTCTTGCCTTTATTCCTTCCATCCATCTTTCTTTCCTGCTTTCCCTCCTTCTTGCTGTCCTTTTTTTTTTTCCTTCTTTACTGCTTTCTTTCCTTCTTTCTTTGCTTACTTCTTTCCTTTCTTCCTTCTCTCTCTCCTTCCTTTCCTTCTTTCTTTATTTCCTTCTCTCTCTCTTTCCTTCATTTCTTCCTTTCCTGCTCGTGTCTTTTCTTTCTTCCTTCTCTTTCCTTCCTTCTCTTTCCTTCCATCTTTCTTTATTTCCTTCTGTCTCTTTCCTTCCTTTCATCCTTCCGTCTTTCTTTCTATCCTTTCTTTCTTTCTCTGTTTCCTTCTTTCTCTTTCTCTGTTTCCTTCTTTCTCTCCTTCCTTCCTGTTTCCTTCTTTTCTCCTTCCTTCCTTCTTTCTCTCCTTCCTTCCCTCTCTTTCCTTCATTTCTTCCTTCTTTCTTTCCTTCTCTCTCCTTTCTTTCGTTCCTTCCTTTCCTTCTTCTCCTTCCGAATCCTGTATAGGAGACGTGGTAACAGCTGAACCAGAGAAAAAGCATAGATTAGAGAAAGCTGACTCCAGGGAATCACCAAAGCATCCACCCCTACTGCACAAGGGTCCCTCACTCTGGACACAAACATGTTGACTTTGTTGTTGAACCTGGATGCCAACAGATCTACATCTGGGCAACCCCATCGCTGTCAGATTGCTGAGAAAACATTGGGTTGCAGGACCCATTCCCCCAGAATCAACTGTCGGTGGCTGAGATAATGCGCCTGCCAATGCTCTACACCCGGAATGAACACTACTGACAAACTTGGCACATAACTTTCTGCCCAAGTCGGAATGTAATTCACTTCCTCTTGAGCCCTCTGGCTTCTGGTACAACCCTGGTGGATAATGTATGCCACTGCTGTGGCATTGTCGGACTGAATTCCTACTGAGATTTTAAATGTTAGTGTTTACAGAAAAGAAGGCCTTGCCTGGCGAATTCCCGTTTATACGAAGAGAAAAAGAGCTAAAATATTTGGGGATAAAACTGACCTCCTCCCTAAAGAATCTATATAAAGTAAATTATATTCCACTAATAAAAGATTAAGGTAGATCTGAGAAAATTAGCAGTTGGATCCCGATCATGGATAGGACGAATACATTTACTAAAAATGGTAATTGCCCCGAAAATTTTATATAAATTCCATATGCTACCTATACAACTCCTGGGAGCCTATTTCAATATAATTAAAAAACAGATATTAAGGTTCATCTGGAAAAATAAAAGACCTAGAATAAGCTATGATGTATTGTGATAAAGATAATGGAGGGTTAAGTGTACCTAATTTTAGGAGATATTATTACTCAGTATTACTGTCACGTATTTTTGATTGGACACATAATGCACTAAAGAAAAGTTGGGTGAATATTGAAAGTACTTTAAGTGGGGTACAGCTCAATAGGATAGTGTGGTTGCCGCACCAGCACCATAATTTAGCAGAAAACACAAGCACATATACACGAAATGTAATTAGGGTTTGGGATATTATTCACAAGCAGAAGAGATGGGAGTTAAATTCCTTGTTAATGCTGTTGGTGGCTTAAAATTTCTTCCCGCCAGGGAAGGAAAATATAATCAGGGAAGTGGAAAAGAAAAAATTATGTCCAGTTAAGGGACATAATGGAGGGAGAAGCAATATGCTCCTTTCAAGAGTTAAAAAATAAGAAGCTGTTCTCCAGATTAGATGAGTGGCAATATTTACAACTCGGACATTTCGTTTCAAGGCTCCCTAACCCTTTAAGGACAGTTAAGGATTTTAACTGAGCAACTGCTCAGTAGAAGTGGGTTACAGAAACATGGTACTTCTTGAATATATAAAATTCTTACCTCAAGTGTAGAAATCACTCCCCCCTTGTATATGGTGAAATGGGAAAGGGAATAGTACTGGATGAGCGGCAGAGAAAGCAAATATATAGATTGGCACAGGGGGCTGTAGACATGAAAGTAGTGGAAATTAATTATAAATGTTTAGCAAGGTGGTATTTACACCAAGTGTTGCACATAAACAAGTAGATAATGCACCATATTTGGTGGGA